TCTACTGTTCTAATGGTTACCATAGCTATTTTAATAAGCATCCTTAAAAGGAATAAATTTGTCAGTTTTGTTACTCTCCTCACAATCAATACAAAGACTTTAGAATAGTTTGATCTCAACTGTTCATTCATCAAATGATATTCTCTTTCCCAGTGATTTCAGTTGTTCTCTGTTATTTATTTATAAACACCACAAATTCCACTTCATTTTGTACACTCAATGTTTATTTATTTAAATTCAATTAAATTTACTAACATTTTTGCTATTGCCTCTTTCTACATTACAGACCAGTTCCCTGAGTTATGTTCATTAGAAGTTCCATTATTTTAAGAGTCTATTGGTGAAACTCTCATTCTTTCTTTGTCTGAAAAGGCAGGTGTTTTCCCCTTGTACTTGAAAAAAAATGGTTTTGTAGAAGGGAGAGTTCTAGGATAACAGCTGTTTCCTGTGAGTTTATTGAAGGCATTATTCCTCCGTGTCTTGGCTGCCATTTTGGCTTCTGAGCAGTCAGCCATCAGTCTGGGTTTTGGGGGGATTTTTGTTTTTTGTTTGGTTTGGTCGAAATCTGCCTTTGCTCTGAAGCTAATCAGCTAATTTTAAGATTTTTTCTTTTTGGTGAAGTTATCAGTATGAAGTACCTTAAGGGTTTCTTTTTTTTTAAGTTTTTATTTATTTGAGGGAGAGAGAGAGAGAGAGACAAAAAAAAAAAAAAAGTGCATGAACAGAGTGGAGGGGCAGAGGGAGAAGGAGAAGCAGACTCCCCGCTGAGCAGGGAGTCCAACATGGGGCTCCATCCTAGGACCCTGAGATCCTGATCTGCGCCAAAGGCAGATGCTTCACGGACTGAGCCACCCAGGCGCCCCCCCCCCCCCGCCGCTTTACGGGTTTGTTTATATTAATTCCACCTGGAATTTGTTGGGTTTTCTTGAACTCACATTGTCTTTCAGCAGCTCAAGAAAATTCTCAGCCAGGATCTCAGAGATTGCTTCTTGCCCATCCTCTCTATTGGTTTCTTCTGACCTCTTAGGAAACTTACGTGAGATTTTTTTCACCATTGTCCACATATTTTAACAGATTTCAGAGTTTACATCTGTCTGTCTGCACTGCAGTTTGGATAACTTTTACAATTTTATCACCCAGCTGTCTGATTCGCTCAGCTTTGTTTAAGTCTCCTGGTTAATCCATTCATTGAGCTTTAAATTTTAATGAATACATTCTAGTTTTAGGCCTTCTATTTGGTTATTTCATTTATTTTTAAAAAAGATTTTATTTATTTATTTGAGAGAGAGGGAAAGAGAGCACAAGCAGGGGGAGGGACTGAAGCAGAGGGAGAAGCAGACTCCCCGCCGAGCTGGGAGCCCAACGTGGGACTCGATCCCAGGACCCTGAAATCATGACCCAAGCCAAAGGCAGACGCTTAACCAACTAAGCCACCCAGGCACCCTATTTGGTTATTTTATAATTTTGCTTGTTCATTTTTGTATTCTCTTGTTCTTTGCTCAAATATTGAGGCCTCTCCTTTATTTACTCCTTTTTTAAGTCTTAGAGTATGTTCATTAGAGGATGATCTTAAGACAACTTGTGATTTGTCAATTTAAAAATGTTTTGTTTCTCCGTGCCATAGATTAAAGTTAACATAAAGACCTACCAAAAATTATTAGCTTCTTTCTCCTGGAATTGCCCATCAGTATATAGCACAGTATGATCATTTTTGAATTGCTAAAACACATTTATTAAAGGCTTTTGCTGTGCTTCTCTTCACAGAGTAATGCCATCACAGCCCATAGTTTTCAGTAAGTTTTGTCACTTCTCAGAAAGCAAAGGTTCATGCAGGATCACAGATTCTGAGTATATTTGGAGAGCCTCTGAAATTGCCTCTATTCCTGACTCAGGCAATGCTGAATTTATATTTGAACCTACAGTTGGGTCAGGGACAGTGCCTGTGACCTACTGAGACTGTGAGAGCCTATTTAGGTTTCTGAAGGGTGATTCCTAAAGAGAGCATTTCTGTCTAAACTGATATATTGTGCTCAGAAGGTTGAAGTTATTTTTCTTAATCAGTCTTGAATTGGTGTCTGAAGGCACTTCTTCCTGCCACATGGGTCACAAACAATTAATCAAGGCACTTAAACGGGAACTCGTTTTTAAAAATACATGAAATATTGCTATTTTGTATTCTGAATTCCAACATTTGAAATCTTTGCAGGTTTCATTTCACTGCTTCTGCGGGCTCCTACTCATGGTGCCTTTTTTCCTTGTGTATTTTATGACTTTGGAGGGTAAATATCATGTTCCTTGGAATTTGTGAATATCTGTGGGAATCCTTTGGGAATTGGAGTCTAGTCTGCATCCCTCCATCTGTTTCTGCCTGTCATCGAGGGACTCTTCCAACCCCAGACCACTTGCATTTCAACGTGCAGTGTTCCACCTAGTGCCCACGCTAAAGCAGGACGTTTCCATACTTGCCCTTTCTGTGCAGTGGATTTGTTTCTTGTTCACCCTTATGGTGTCTCAACTCTACGTGCAGCTTCCTGCCAGCCTCCTCACCTTGTATGGGCCCCAGGCTGCATCACTGGTTCCCCATCCCCACATCCCACGAGGCAATCAAAATAGCAGCTTACTCTGGGGTTCAGTAGAAACCATCACAGAAAGACCACTTTGACCCTTGCTTAGTGCTTGGTTCAGCCTCCCGAAGTTCCTTCATTTTGTGCCACTTTAGCAACGCATTTTTAAATTATGTTGAAATATATGTTTAAGCATTTTCATGGGTTCAGTGGAAGGGTTATTTATCCATATTACTGTGTGTGTCGTACAGCTAGACACAGAAGTCTCCAGCTTCTTCTCTGGCTTCCTCTGCAGTTAGGCTTTTCCCAGACCACTCCACCAAAACCACTCTCATCGAGTTCAACAGTGATGGTCGCGTGGCTGAATCCTGTGGTGATGATCATCTTCGTCTTACTCGTACCCCTCAGCAGGATTTGGCATGGCTGATTATTCCATCTTTCCCAAACAGCTTCTCCCCATGGCTTTCAGGATACCTCACCTTTGTGGCTTTGCTTCTGACTCACTGGACCCATCTTTTTGGTCTCTGGTCTCTTTGGCTGGGCTCATCTCTTCTAGATATTAGCATTCCTGAAAACTCAATTCTGAACTTGCTATCTACAGTCCTATTCCAGGTGATATCTAACCCAACATTTTAATGCATCTGTGTGCCCATAACTACCCAGTTGATGTTTTCAGTCTCCTCTCTCCAGAACTCGACACTTCCATTCAGCTGACTGATAGGTACCTCCCCTAGGTGTCTGGTGTCTGTGAGCCATCTCACACATAATATATTTTAAACTTATTCCTCTTCCGCCTTCTCCCTCCAAAAAACCCGGTCTTCCCCAGTTCTTCCCCGTATCTTTACATGGCATTGTCATTGACCCCATTGCCAGGAGTTAATGATTTCTCTCATCCCCTCACGTCTCTCCCCCAGTCCATCAGTGGTTCTTATAGTGTCTCCCTGTGAAATTATCTTGAACCTGACCACTCCTCATGTCCACCTTCCAGGCCAAAGTCACCGTCATCATCTTCTGTCACCTGGACAACCATTAGGGTCCCTAAATGCCCTCCTGGTTTCCATTCTTGTCTCCCCACCTCCAATGCCACCACCATCATCATCACCTCCCCCAGCTAGAGATCTTTGGAAAATATGTCAAATCATGCCATTCTCCTATTCAGAATGCTCATGCTTAGAATAAAATCTGGACCCCTTACCCTGGTGAGCAAGACCCTGTGGTGTCTGGCCCCTGTTGATTCTCTCACCTCTCCTCTCTCTGCTTCCTCCTATTCCTCTTACGCTTCTGCCCCCTTTCCCTGAAACATGTTAGACTGAATCCAGGCTCAGTGACTTTACTCACGCTGTTCCCTGTACCTCAAAATCTCTTCTCCCCTTTCTTTCTGTGGCTCACTCCTTCCCATAATTTCCATTTCTGCTCAGATATCACCTCAGGAGAAAGACCTTCACTGACCACTCCATAGAAAATAGAACTATCCATAGTCTGTCCCCTTATAGCATTCAACACCATGTGAAGCCATACAATTTATTTAATCGATTTGTTTCCTATTTATTTTTCCCATTAGAATTTATACTTCATAAGGGCAGAGCCTTTGTTTCATTTATCATTCTCTCCTCAGAACCTGGAAGCATGGTTGGGCTCAAATATATATTGATATATCTCATTTTATGTAATAGATGCTCAATAAACATTTTTGAAATAAAGACTGAATGTCACTTCATTCCCACAATAACCCGTGAGACAGAAATGATTTTCCCAATCATATAGGTGAGGAGACTGAGACGCAGAGGTGTTAAATGAGTTGGCCTTGGTTACACCTCTAGTAAGTGTCCAAATTAAACCCAAGTGTGGTATCACTTTAGAGGCCATAATATTTTATTTTCAATTTTTTCTAATTTTTTTCTGAAGTTCACTTTGAAATAATGTCAGACTTGCCAAAAGAAGTTGCAAAAATAGTACAGAGTTCCCTTGTACCTTCACAGAGCTTTCTCAAATAATACCATCTTGTATAACCATAATGCAGTTATCAAAACCAGAAAGCTAATATGGGTGGAGAGCTAGTGGCTGATGAACAGACCTTATTCACATTTCGCCAGTTGTCCCACTAATGTGTCCTATCTCCTGAGTCTCCTCCAGCACGGAGGTCTCTGTCTTTCACCCCTGTGACTGTTCCAAAGAGGACCGTATTCTCACTGTCAGGGTCGAATCTATGCAGAGTGCTGGACACTATGGAAGTTTTCCATAGTAATAGCTGTTATTGTTGGGGAAATAAATAAGTAAATAAATAAACCTTCCTTTTGAGGAGTAGAAGGGGAAATGTTTCTTCACATTCTGTTTGTTTTGCTTAGCTTGGCCGACCTTGAAGTGTTTATAAAAAATAGTGAGAGCGGCATGCTCAAGAAAGTTGAAAAAGGAGACTCCGAAGGATTGGTCGAGGTCATGGGACACCTTATGGCTCTGAAAGAACGACAGAGCAGCACCGATGAGATGTTTGAGCCCTTAAAGCAGACAATTGAATTGCTGAAGACCTATGAACAGGAATTGCCCGAAATGGTGTTTAAGCAGCTGGAGGTCAGTACAAAGTTTGTTTTCCGAATAAAAGAAATAGAGGGAAAGTTTCTGACCTTCAGAGTGGGGTGAGGTGGGTTGAGGTAAACAAGAAATGGGGCTTGGTGAGGACCCAAGGCTCGTGTTTTGGAACTATCTGTGTGACGGATGTGTGCTCTCTAGCACATTCTGGAAACTCCATAAATATGAAGCAGCGCAATGCTGGAGATAGATGGGAGAATTGACGTGGATGAAGTATTTTGGGGTTTTTTTGGGGGGGGGTGGTCGGTGAGCCAAGTTTTTGATTCAGAGAGAAAAAGCAAGTCTGAAAAACATTAAGATGGACTAAGGCGATGTGAGGCATAAAAGAAAATAATCAAGCACTCTGAGAAAATACAAAAAAGGGCATGGGTTACCCAGTTAGAGGTGGATGGCGGGAAGGAGGCCATAGCCAGGCAAGCAGGCGACCAGGAGCGACGGGTCAGGGGAAGGGAGAACATGATGTCATGGCATCACACCATAGCCTTGTAGCGGACCTGGAGACATCTGGGTGCCGTCCAGCGTCAGGTCTGCGGGCGACGGGGAGCACAGCGTGGCTCTGACCACATGGAGGTCATCTTCGCAGGAGCTGCCTGAGAAGTGGAACAACGTGAAAAAGATGGCTGTCACCATGAGGCAGCAGGTAGCGCCCCTGCAGGTGAATGAAGTGGCCGTCCTCCGCCAGAGGTGCTCAGCCTTTGACCTTGAGCAACAGCAGTTCTGGGAGCAGTTCCGCAGGGAAGCCCCCTTCAGGTAGGTACCACTCCTCTCTTCTCAACATGGTAATCTTTGGGTAACCGAGGGTCTTTCGGTTGAGTTACTGAATTCTTTTAGCAGGTGAAGACCACTTAAGTCTTCCTTCCCACTTGGGTCTGTTGGTTCGAACCTGGTGCTAACATGGGCAGGGTCCCATCATGGCCTGGACGAGATGACCAAAGATCGCACAAACACCGTGCCTTAAAAACAAAAGTCTAGAAACTCTGTGTCTTCAGGTTTGTCAAGGGACTGTATGTGATCAAATCACAAGGTTTTTGACAAAGCTGTTCATATTCTAAATTCTCACAGACTCGTGTTCTTTTGGTTTAGAAAAGTGGCTGGTAGAATTTGAAAATAGTTCTGGAAGGCACTTTGGAAGCCTAAGGGAAGGGTTGGAGGTGTTGGATTTCTCTCTCTTTCTGCTTAGTTCTGCTCAGACCCATCCCCACTTGTGATAAGGGGTCTTTACTTAAGACAATGATAGGACCAGGTAGCATCATTCAGATGGGTCCACATCGCATGTCCGTGCACGTGCGTGCACACACACGCACACGAGTTTAGCGCGAATCCTCCCTTGATGGAGAAGTAAGTGTACCAGGGGTCTGCACTTGGTCCACTGCTCAGTGTCAGGGGCTCCAAGCAGAACAAGCTCGTTCTCAATGTCCTGTGTCTGCTGATGTGTCAGCTGAGACGGGCCTCTCCCTCCATGACTTGCTTTCTGTTTCCCTAGCTGACCTTCCTACTGGCTCTCCACTACAATTTAGGACAGACAAGTTTGGAAGGCTCCAAACGGGAAAACGCCCTATGTAAGAAGTGACAGACCTTTTAATTGCCAGAGTTACTTACCCATAGAAAACAATATTACATGGGGAGACAGTGCATTAAAGCCACAAATGAAGCCAAAAACTAACTCTGTGCTTTAATTCTCTCATCTGTAAAATGGGGTTAATCGTAGGATCCACCTCATAAGGTTGTTGATAGAATGAAAGAAGTAATTTTTGCAAGTGTGTACCAAGGTATCTGGCACAAGGATGACCAACCATCCCGGTTTTCACTTGGTGGCTCTGGTTTTAGCACTGAAAGTCACTCTTCCAGGGAAGTCCCTCTGTTTCAGACAAATTGGAGCAGTCGGTCACCCAACATGGCAGACAGGAAGGACCTACCTGTTCTTGTTATTCACTCACCAAACATTTATTAAGCAGCTCCTGTTTCCCAATTGCTGTACTTGGGGCTGGAGAGAACAACAGGAGTGCGTTGAGAGGCAGGACAGGACAGATGGGTAAACTCTGCATAAGATGGACATGTGTATGACATGAGGCTCTAAGGCAGTGTGCCGCCATGTTAGCTGCAAACTACAATCACCTGGGGAGCTTCTAAGATTTCCAGTATCCAGTCTGCCTCGCAGACCAACTAAATCAGGTTCTCTGGGGACAAGTCCTGGCATCAGTGGTTTGTAAAGCTCCTCAGGCGATTCCAGTGTGCAGCCAAGTTTGAGACTTGCTGCCCTAGGGGGAAGTCACTGGTTCCCTTTTAAGCAATCATGCCAGGGCATGTAATTCCAAATGAGTCTGTATCCCTCTAGAAAAATTGCCTTCGGAGCTATGCCCTTGTTCCAAGGAAATATCTGTTGCTCTAAACATTGGCAAAACTCCTTCTGGGACTGTTCTTTCAGAGTCTGAGACATATTCTCTGGACTCTCCTTCGGACATGCAATTGAATTTTTGAAACTCAGCACCAATCATGCAGGGCCAAAGCTGGTGAGGGAGGTGGGTTATCGAGCTGAGTAATACTGCTTAGTGCCAACAGTCCCACCAACAGCAACAGCCACGAAAGCAATGACATGAATATCCTTACATCAACTGTCCCTTAAAATTTTTTTCAAAAAAGGAACTCCAGAGATATTTGGGGAAATATTTTCCCAAAAGGTCTT